GTGTTTGCTGTAAATATCCCCTCCCCGCCTGGACTTGGTGCTGTGCAGCCTGCTCTGGGTGACCCTGCTTGGGCAGGGGGTTGGGCTGGGTGACCCACAGAGGGCCCTGCCAACCCCTACTATTCTGTGATTCTGTGATTTTGTGATCAGAAAGATGGAGTCTCTTAAAGAAGATGTAGAGCTGAACGTCCTTCCAGTCTTTTTTTTTCTAACTGGGAAAGGGCCTTGCAACTGGTTTGTAGAATACTCTGAGCAATGAGCTCCTTGGGAGAGAAGAAATCATGCCTGCTGTGGGAGCAATTCAGTATGTGTGGTGAGAAGAAGCAGGGTGAGACCAGCTGCCCTTTTAGTGGGTTTGGATACTTCAGGGAAAAGACACGAGCGGATCCAGCTCAACGCTCCTGCTGCCTCAGGCACCAGCCCAGAAATACTCATTAGTGGATTGTTATTGCCAGGCATGAATAAATTATTGGATATCTGGTGCCTGCAGACAGGCAAAGGAAAAGCTGTCTGGGGAAGCTTGGATTTAAGACAGGTTTTTAATCTCTGATAAAAATAGCCCTTTTTGTTTGAGGTGTAGGTTCTCGCATCCTTGGTAGTTCAAACGCAGTCGTACCCTGGATCAATGCAGTCTTGTCTCAAGCAGGGAGCTGTGATAAATCTGTTCAAATCTCGTCCTGTCAGACCGCTCTGCGCCAACAGCGGTGATAATGAATGTTCAGGTGTGAACGCAGTTGTTGATTTTTCTGGCGACAAACTGTGCAGAGGTTCAAGTGGAGCGTTTTATTGATTCACTGCAATGTCACTTGAAGTTGGTTGTGCTTTCATCAAAGCGGTACATATATTTAATGTCAAGTCTATTTCTACATGAAGCAGGGGCAGCCATGATAACAACGGAGTCAAGGCAGAATTACAGAATCACAGCATGGTCAGGGTTGGCAGGGACCTCTGTGGGTCACCCAGTCCAACCCCCCTGCCCAAGCAGGGTCACCCAGAGCAGGCTGCACAGCACCGCGTCCAGGCGGGTCTGGAATATCTCCAGAGAAGGAGACTCCACAGCCTCCCTGGGCAACCTGTTCCAGTAGCCACCTGAATAAATCTCCCTCTTCTCCCCGACTCTCTCAGGTTTCTGTGGGCTCGTGCAGTTCACCCACCCCGGTGAAGTGGTTTCTACGAGTGCTGCTGACAAGGCCAACGCACGGTTCAGCGTCGCACGGAACCGCGGCGCGACCCGTGCCCCTGCCACAGAGACACAGGTCTGTGAGACCAAAGGGAAGGTTCTGATAATCTGCTCAGACCCGTTGTAAAACACATAGTAAAACACAAGTAAATAACTTTGCCAAACTGGAGCGCAGCCTGGCCCTCCCTCTCCTGTGACGGTGAAACAGATTTCATGGAAGTTTGGGGGGTGCTGGAGGAGAAACCCCAAATGGGGATTTAATTTATTGTCACAGCGGTGCTGCCAGCGCATCTTTTTTTTCTTTCTGCTGGGTGAAAGCCAGGCACAAGCTTAGTCCAGAAGCTGACACCGTGATTGCGATACCTTCGACTTCAAAGAGATGAAAAGCAATTAGAGCAATAACAGCCCCCCGCCTTACCTTCTAGCCGGTGCAGTCAGCACTTTATTTGTTATTTATTTTCTTTATCCACTGAGATGTGTGGCTGCATCTCGCCCACGCCAGCCCCAGAGCCTGCTCGCG